AATGAACAAGCGCCGTAGTCGCGTCCGGTTCCGAGAGCGACTTCCGTTTAGCTCCTCGCTGGCTACCCAGCCCAAGTAAGCGGAGACGCTCGCACCGCCACACACGCATGCGCCTACACGCCGCGGCCACACACACCAAAGCCTTGGAGGCTCAAGTTTCAGAAGTTTCAAGTTCAATTTCAAGAAGAGTAAAAAAGCAAAGCGCCTCGCTCTTTCTCTTCTAGAAAACTTGAAACTTGCAAACTTTAAACTGCGCCCTCAAGGGGGGGACCTGCTGCACACACGCACGCACGCGAGCTGCTGATGTTGCACGCTGCCAAGGCGTATTGCAGTATATCGTTCATGGATATAGCCTACGTAATATCAAATCACATATTTTGTATTTAATTAATGTACCCAGTGGCGCGCCTATGTTGTTACTATTATTGTGAGTTTTGCGCACAGTGAGACCGGCTGTACCGATTGCTGTCCGTTGTAAGGTTTGAACGGCGTTCATACGGAATTTATAAATGCTGCATTTATATTCTATAATGAGAATATTTTGTAGTAAAACATAATTCATATTTATTTACTATTATTTTATTATAAGATTATCAAGCTGCCCGTGCCCTATATAATCACGCAATAATATATAGTGCGTTGAATATTTTGATGACGTAATAGGCTAGGTGCATATTCTGTTACGACAACATAGGTGTTGTCTATATTGTTCATCGCAATCACATTGTGTTACATTATTGTCGCGCACAACATAGATCATGCCATAATTGTCATGCGAATCTTTTGTGTCGCTTCATTATGTGACACTGCGAACTGCTACTAATTTATGCAATATAGCGCATTCATCTGTCATTAAATTCCTCCTGTCTAAAGCGCGGTCTAGTCCTAAAATTAGAGCTGCCAATGGCGTGTGGAATGCCGCGATAAAATAATTACAAGCGAGTCTTCCTATCCGCATTCGCCGAGAAAGGCTGCTTACGTCATTCGTCTGCGCGCATGGGCGCCACACCGCCCGCCCCATATTTAACGTGCCTCTAAGATATAGTTTAAATTGGATTTTAATATATAAATTGCTAGAACGATTAGAGCGTAATTGATCTCAGCTTCCTACACGAGTGGTTGCGTCGCCAGGCGCGAATCTACTTTCCGCTCATGTCATTATTGAGCAAGACTAACGCTTTCACATAATAACCGTTGTCGCGTGCGAGCGCGCACGCGATGAGAACGTGAGTGCCGTGCGTGCCGGCGCGCGTCTCTCGTCTCTCTCTCTCTCTCTCTTGTGTGTGCTGTGTGTGTGTCTGTTGTGTGTGTGTGGTGTGTGTGTGTGTGTGTGCTGTGTGCGTTTGCGTGTGCCTTAGTGCGTTTTGCTGCGCTATCCTAGCGCGCGTGTGGTGTGTGGTTGAGTGGTGAGTGTTGAGTGTGTCGTGTTGTGTGTGTGTGTGTGTGGTGTGTGTGTGTGATTGTGTGTGGTGTGTCAGTGCGTGTGTGTGTGTGTAGTGTGTGTGGTGTGTTGTGTGTGTGTGTGTGCGTGCTGGCGTGCGTGTGTGTGTCTAGCTGTATGCATGCGCGCGTGCGCGCGAGTGTGTGTGTATTTGTGTTTGCTCGCTTGCGTGACGGCCCTGGGAGCCGATTAGCTAACTACTACGTGCTAATGATACCTGATAGCAGCGGACAGTGCGTGCTTTTACGCGCGCGCTTTGCATCAAACAGCCATAGTGACTCATCAACGCACCCATCTATGGCGCTAGCGATCCATTTCTGCGCGTTAACTAATCGCACATTTTCATCTTACCAGTGTCAAATTCAAATTACCAGTGTGCGGGCGGGAAGCGTAGATGATCCCTTGATGTAGTTCAACACTCACAGGTGAGAGCGATGCAAGGGGATATCTGCCTTGTGCATCTATATATGGCGGTTGAGGGCATCACTGTTCTCATTGTACTAATGATATAGGCCTACACGAAAAAAAACTACTACATACGTTGTTTTTTGTTCGAAACCCCGATGTGTTTTTATTCATTGAAAGGAAATCGATTTTCTACCATCCGGTCTTAAACACTGTTTTAAACTACAAATCGACATCGATACAGGCTATCTTATATTGATATTTGCGTGCATATTCGACCGAAAACCGCAATGCGTAGACCAGAGTCTCATAATAGCAAACATTACATTATAACGTATGCATAATGTGTTAACCATTCTGTGAGATTCTGTGAATGTTTTACCTTTCTCGTGTAAAAATGATTGATCGACCGTCTTCCTTTCTTAGCATACAGCATCGTTGTCACGATATGTAATAGTGCACTGCGCGTATATAGTGCAGACTTCATGACTTCGCCAGTGCGAGATGCGCGATCGCTGCGCTCTCTAAGGCACACCTCACGCAACACAGTGTCCTGACTGTATCCCTCGTCCCTCCTGTTTTGGCCATGTGCTAAAATATAATCTGTCGGTACGATTGTGTAAGTTGTAGTAGTAAGTAGTTTAACTGTTTCTCACTTCTTCTTCACGTTCTGTCTTTCTTTCTATCTTTCTCTCTTTCTCTCTCTCTCTCTCTCTCGCTCTCTTCT